ATGGGCACTTAGGTTGTTTCCAACTCCTTGCTATTGTGAACAAAGCTGCAATAAACATGGGTGTGCATAGAGCTCCCTTATATTTTTCTATACTTTTTTATCCTGTTGTTGTTGTTTCCCTTCAAGTCAGAACCAACCCATAGCTGACCCTTTGGCAGGATTTCACAGGCAGTTAATCACCTGGGAGGAGATTGCCCGTTCTGCTCCCGTGGAGCAGCTCTTGTGGATTTGAACCACATGCCTTTGGGATTGCAGCACAGCTTCTTACCACTGAGTCACCAGAGCTCCCTACATACTTTAAACTTGAGTGCTTTCTTGTGGTATTTTTCCCATGCCGATAAAATATGCACCCGAAACATGTTTTGTGATGGCTCTGTGGTCATCATATGGCAGAAACCTAATTCCTTCTCCCTTTTGCTTTTTCAGGAGAGACAGGGCTAGGCAAGTCGACTCTCATGGACACTCTGTTCAACACCAAGTTCGAGGGGGAACCTGCTACCCACACACAACCAGGTGTCCAGCTGCGATCCAATACCTATGACCTCAAGGAGAGCAACGTGGGGCTAAAGCTCACAATTGTTAGCACTGTGGGCTTTGGGGACCAGATCAACAAGGAGGACAGGTAAGGAGGGTGGCAGAGTGAGAGGATGGTGGTGGGTCACAGAGAGGAACTCCCTGTGGAGTCGTGGAGAGAGGCTTCAGCTGTTGGAGTCCATGCTATACCTCTTCTTGGAATGACACAGGCTAACACTGCCTCCAGCTAGGGTCCCTGTCTTCAGTGACTGTTTTACCCCACATTCTTTGCCAAAAGTGGGGTGTCTTTCAAGATATACCTGGATGGAGTCTCCATTCAGTTCAGCAAACATATCTCACTTCTACCTCCTGCCAGTGACTTAGTCCTTGACGAAGTGCACAGCTTTGGTACACTACTCTAGTGGTTCAAATCCACCAGGAGAAAGATGGGTAGTCTCTTCTCATGTGATTTATAGCCTCCAAAAACCCTCTGCAGGGTCAGCCATGAGTGAGTTCCAAGTCGATGGCAGTGAGCTTGAGCATTTGACCTTGTGCCAAGGACCACTGTTCTCTGAAAATCTGAAAATGAATGACATATATTCTGTCCTTGAAATGCTGACAGGGAAGACTGGTTTTAAGCAAATAGTCTCCACATGATATGATAAGTTTTGTAAAGGACAAAGAGGTGGAGGACAGATTACAGTGAAGATACAGAGGGGAGGTGACCCTGGGGCTGGCTCCTGAGAGATGCACTGTTTTACCAGGCAGACAAGGAGAGAGAGAGAAAGGACACTCAAGATCGAGAGAATTGCTTGTGAAAGCAAAGAATTGTGAAAAGTAATGCCATGTTTGAACTTCAGGTGCCTCATTTACCCAGGCCCCTGCACAGGCCTTGGGACTAGTTTTTAGTCACAATGTTGTATGATTTTTTTTGGAAGGCCTTTCAAATTACATAAGCTTATATCCCCACGAAACTCGAATCTGCCTCTGGGCTCGAGCTTGGTGTGAGCGAGCTAGGAGAAAAGCGGGAGGAAATGAGCCTGGAGAAATAAACCGGAGGCAGATCATGGAGGGATTTATGTAATTTGACAGTTTGGAACCACTGAAAGAGCTTAAGAGTGGGATGAGGTGATTTGATTGGCCTTTGAAAAGGAGCTTTGGACTAGTGAGGAGATTGACTAGAAGAACAGGGCAATGAATTAGGGGATTACTGGAATGATTAGATGGAACCAAGTAGGTAAAACTGGTGTCGGTCTAGGGAAGAGAAGACAGCTTCGGTAAACATTTAGTTGTTGCTCATTGTTATTGCTGTTGAGTCAGAACCCACCCAGTGGGTTTTCAGAGGCATTTAATCACACAGGAGGAGATTTCCTATCATCCCCCCTCAGAGCAGCTGATGGATTCAAACTGCAGGCCTTTGGGTTAGTAGTTCAGGTGGAATCAACAAGATTGGCTAGAGACTTGATGTGAAGCTGTGAAGCTAACAGAAAAATCTAGAATGAGGCTTAGATTTCTGGCTTTGGAGAGGGAGCAAGTGGTGGTACCACTCAGTAAGAGAGGTGCTATGAGAAGCAGGTTTTTGAAAGAGACAAGAATGTCTGCATTAAGCATTATGTGCTTTCAGAGAATTCTCTATATGTGATCAAATGTCAGCCACAACTCGAAAGGGTAGATGAAAGGCTTGGAGAGGGGACAGTGCATTTGTGTTAAAGATGATGAGAAAGTCTGGAAAAGGTTGTCAAGAAGGGTGACACAACCTGAAGAATAGAACCAATGCCACAGAATTGTACATATAGAAAAGGTTGGATTTTTTATATTTTCAACCAAAGAAGGGGTGGGCAGGGAGAGAAGCTAGTTTGAAAATAATGAGTTCTACCTGGACATGTTGAGTTGTAGAACATCTAGATACACCATGACCTTCAGTAATAGCTGACTGAATGTGCAGACATGGATGGCAAAGAGGGCCTTGGGCAAGAAATAAAGGCTCGAGTTAGCAGAGGGTGGTGGTGTTTGCCACAGAGTCAGAACCGATCCATAGCTGACCCTCCAGTGGGTTTTCTGAGGTAAATCATGTGGAAGAAGATTGCTGTCTTTCTCCCTCAGAGCACCTGGTGGATTTGAATGACCTGCCTTGGGGTTGGCAGCACAACTCCCCAACCCACTAAGCCACTAGAGCTGCCTAAATTGACTCACAGTTGACCCTCCAGTGGGTTTTCAGGCGCTTTTTAAATCACACAGGAGACTGCCCATCTTTCTCCCACTCGTGGATTTGAAAACCCAGAGAGGTGTGTCCTTCAGGTTAACAGTGCAACCCCCTACAGACTACATCACCAGAGATCCCTTTAGCAGGGTCTCGGTGATCCATTTCAATCATAGGAGAATGTACAATCTCCCAGAGTTTGAAGTAGAGTGAGAACTCTGGGCGAAATATTTGGCCTTGAGATATGAAGTGAGCAGGAGGAGGCAAAGATAATCTGAAAAGATATTGAAAAGGAATAACCAGCAAGTCAGAAGAGAACCAGGAGGGATTTGGTATTTGAGAAGGGTGTGTGAAGGGTGGGGCGAGGGTCAGAGATGCACATGGAATGAGGTCAGGGATGGGTTAAGGGTCAGACACCTTCTGGCAGTGACACCACGTTTAACTAGAAGTCACATGGTCACCACATGGTGCTCATCTCAGAAAGGGCCATTTATCATCCTGAGCAAGGCGTGTATTTCTTCATTTTTCCAGGAACCTCTTGTTTCTGAGATTTTTCGATATCTCGCATGCTATTTTCCCCTTAAAGTTAAAACGGGCATACTCTTTTGCTGATGATGTTGTTGTATACCATAGAGTTGGAACCAACCCATGGCTGACCCTCCAGTGGGTTTTCAGAGGCAGTTAATAGAACAGGAAGAGATTGCCCGTCCTTGTCCCATGGAGCAGCTGGTGACCTCGAACCGTATGCCTTTGGAATTGCAGCGCAGCTTCTTGCCACTAGGCCACAAGAGTTCCCTATTTCTGATCATGGGGATATATGAGGTAACTCATGGTTTCTGGGAAGCTGAACACTGTGACACTGATGTGTCAAATGTGATGATGGTTACCCACGGTGGACTGTGTTTGGTGGCGCTCCTTGATTAAAACAAGCCTGGAAGCAGGAATGACATCCACTTCCAAAATAGCTTGCTTCTGGAAACCCTATGAACCTGGAGAGAGGATGAAAGTTATTCAAGTGTTCAGGTCTTTCATTCATAGGGTC